AGGCGAGCCCGGGGTCCCTCCCGGACAGGCACTTCCACCTCATCCGGTGTTGTCCTGCGTGGGGGCTGTTGGTTGGCAGGTGAACATGGGTGGAACACTTGGCTGGTTGGCCTGCTCCTTGCTCCTCATTAATGATAGCAAAGGATGCCACAGGTGCACGACATGTGAGAGTATTGTGGGCAGACTGGGAAACTGGATAGAGAAGGAAACCAGTTCTAGCAAGAAAAGAATTTGTGTTGGCTTAGTTGTTGCACTTGGTAGTCGGTGAATTGTCTTACAAAGAAAGGAGGCTTGAGAGAAACTTAGAAAGGTGTAGGGAATCCTGGCCTATAGAAGTTGCTGTGAAATATGCTTTGTATGAAAATAACATTTACCATCCCATGAAACGTTGTGATCCATCCTGATGAGTGTGTTTCAGGTCTGTACTTGATCCTGGGAATGCCAGCACAGCTCACCATTGTTTTGCCAGTGAGGGTGCTCACTGCCTGTGTACAGGGTTTGCCTTCACATGTGCTGGGCTCAAATTTAGACCTGAGTGTAGAACTGGTTATGAAATGACAATCTGCTTCAATACTGGTCATTGAATACCTGCCTCAGCCAGGGCTTTGGGTCGGTTATGATCCCGTGTACTTTTAGAAGTGGATAAATAACAGCATAGAATCACTTTTTAATACTGAGAAGCTTTGAAAGAATACCTTGTTTTCTGTGCTGATAATTTAGGACCATGTAGGTGCCATTTTGGGCTGGGACATTTGCTAGCCCAGAGCTGTGTAAAGCGTTATGTTGTGTTAACCTTGCAGTAACACCCGAGTGACGCAGGGGCGCTTCAGCTCCTGCTTGTTTGAATGGAGCGCTGATAGAATCCAGGCCTCTAACTCGCCTTAAGTGCTTTGGATATCCCAAAGCAAAGGAGTTTGTATTAGCTGACAGGAAGCCTTTTACTGCTGGCATTTTACAGAGAGTATTTTTTTAAATCTGTTTGGCAGTTCCTTTCCTAAAGAACAGATTCTGGCTTGTGGATAGATATTAAGATGCTGTAGGTTGTTACTGAAATATGGCTGGGTTTTAAACTGATATGCAGAGTAAACCTATTATCTTCTCTGCTTTTAGAATTTATTATATTGTGTCAAGTTCTGCATTAATTATGAAAATGTGATTGATGTTTATTGGATATTATCTACCTTTGTATTAAAATTAATTAAATTTACAGTGTTTTTTAAGAGTTTTTTTAATTAAAGCAAACTCTTCTGTGATGACTATATAAAATGGTCCTCTGCATTTATTAGATTGAATTTCTTGCTGGTTGCTTTTTTCAGTCAGGATCTTATAATAAATAGCTGTCATTCCTTCATACTTTCACAATTTACAAATAAAATGTTGTGTTAAACATCTCTTACCTTTTCAATTCCGAGTCATTTTATTAAGCTCCAGTGAATTAATCATTGGATGGAAATAGTTGAAAAATGCAAAAGAGGTTCTACTGCAGCAGATTTTTCAGCACTTTGTCAAGCACCAGCTCCAATACTTAATCAGTGGCTCCCATCACTGAATATGTATTCATGTAAGCTATTAAAATAGCTTCACTTATAATAAATTTTAGCCCAGTTACAGGTTGCCATAATTTTATACTTAATTCTACATTCATTTTAAAAAACCCCTGCAAATCAAAAATATGCCTTATTAATTACTATGTAAGAAACTTCAAAGTTTATCCAAACAGAGATGGATTCTGTAATTCTTAGTCAGTAGCTCTTACTTGTGTGAGTCATCTGAAATGTTCTGTCGCTGTTGCAGAAACTTGCCCATGATAATTGGCATTTTTCTTGTATTAAAGCATCTTTTTATAACTTTGTATGTGAAAATTGCCTTGTGCTTTTGGAAGTTGAGATGACTTCCATCTTCTTAACAGACCATTTATGGTTAGCTGCCTTTTCAAAGGTGATCTTTGGTTTTGTTAATAAAATTCATTACTTTCTCCAATTAATTACTGCTAATTCACAGTTTCTTTCCTTGGGAATTATAAAAGGTTTTTAAGGTTAGGAAGTAACATAATGAACAGCAGCAATATTTTTCTTTTCTGTATTCCTTCCAAGACACTGAAAAAGAGGTGGTTACCTTATGGGGAATGGTGTAACTTGCATAAACACTTAGATTGTAGGCTTGATAAATGTGCAGTTTTCTTTACAGAAGGAATTCCAGCAAAAATGTTGTCTTTTTAACATAAAGTAGCTGAAAACACGTGTAGTGTATCTAACATTTACAATAAATGGTTGTTAGTGCTCATTGTATCTCACTTGGAGTTAAATAAACCACAAAACTGCCGTAAGGCCACCAGGAGCTTGAATCCTCCTGGTTGGATTTGCTGTGATAACTTGGAACTGCTGGGGGGGTTCAAAGTGGGATCCCAAGTTGGAATGAGCAGGACAGTGTTTGTGGAAATAGAAATATTTATTGTGGCTGTGCTGCTGTAGCTGTGAGGGTGCAAGGGCAGGGTGGGGGCTGTGTGGGAGAAACAACAGCGTGTTACCAGACCAGATGTGCTTACAGAGAGGGACTGGTGGGTGCACAAACCCCTGTCAGGGCTTGAAAAGAAACAGGAAGATTGAAGGCAGTAAAGCAAATTTGGGAGAGCTGCTCCAAGCTCTGGAGAGAGGCTGGTCCAAAAGGCCCCCAGGAGCTCATGTGGTGTTTGGAGCAGAAGGTGCTGGTGCTGCTGTGGGGAACAGGAAGACACTGTAATTCGTGTTAGCCATGTGGACATCAAAAAGGAGACCTTGTAGTGCGCCAGAAACCCAAAATAAAGTTTAATAGTGTTTTATACACATGACTTGTGGTGCTTTATACCCCCTCTGAAGGACCTGGCGTGAAGTAAAGTCTTCAAGCAGCACTAATGCTTTCTGGGAACGATGAACCGTGCTCTTGGGGGCTGAGCTCACTGTGTAGGGATTTGCTTGGCAAACTTTCCCAAAAACATTTGAGGGGCTTCAGGAGTCTTGGCCTTCTACTGGAAAGGGAATGTCTGTTGTGATTGTGGTGATGTGATCTGGGTGTTTGTTAGGGAGAATCTGCATCTGTTCAGTAGATGGTCTGTGGTGAGTTCACTTCTCATTTCAGTGAAGTTGGTGGTGAAGGTGAGGAAGTTGTTTGGAAATTGAGTGGGATGGGCTTGGAAAAAAATGACTTTAAAATAATCATTTTAATTTGTAATACCTGGTAACACAAATATTTACCTTTTTTTAGTAGTAAAGCTACCTTTTATTATTTGGTTTCAATTAGAAGTTCAAAGGAATCTGTTAAATTTATCTACAGCTGTGTGTGTGTTCGTTACAGTAATTAGCTAATGACTGCACAAAATGCTTGTATTTGTGGTTCAGGTAATTTTCAGTCTCCTTAGGCAGGTCAACAAACATCTGGAGGGAGTAAACATAAATCAGCTGTTGCCTTCCCCTTTTTTCTTGTTGATGCTCAGGGATAGAAAAATACCTGAGTGTTATGTAGAAGACTTAATTAAAATTAATATAAATTGTTCTATTGAGAGGGATTTTTTTGTTCTCTTCAGAATTATGACTAAAGTGGCTTCACATTGTGGTTGATCCGAGCTTGAACAATGCTCAATATCTGCAAATGGAGCGTTCATGTTCTCTAACGAGGTGTGAATGCCAGAGCTGTTGTGGAAACTAGAAACAGAATCACTTGTTTGAAAACCTTCCTTTTCGGTTAACTTTTATTTGTTGTATAGATAATATTCCTAATTCTTCAGGAAATATGTGATCTTCTGAAAATAGGCTAACATGCTTTAAAGCAGGATTTTGGTTATGTCAATTTGCTCTTTACATATAATTAAAATAAGTAAATATTCTGGAAGTGTTCTGTGGAACAGATGAAAAGCTGTAGCTTTTTCTGGAAATCTCTTAATTTCTGTAGTTTTTTGAAGGTTTAAGAGGTAACTGAACAAGTTTGTGTGTCCTTTAACTAATGATCAGCTTCTGGTTTTCTTATTTTCAAGGCTTCATTCACACTGTATTCTATTGGCAGACATCCCTATTGATACTCAGATGTTCTCATAAAATCCAGTTAGTGCAATTCACCTGACATTGTTAAAGTTTACCACTGATGTAATATCTAAATATCAGGTTTGGTCCAACTGCTCTTCCAGTCCCCATAGTTTGAAAAGAAAACAACAGCCTCTCAAGATGTAGTTCCCTAGGAGACCAGAGCACATGTCTTTGTTCTCTACTGAGGATGAAAACAGGGATGAAAATGGGTTTAATTTAAGATTTTTATAAAATGCCATTTGAGGCTTTTGATCCTGTGTGAGTAATAACCTGACTTGTCATGGAAAATGTGTTGTAGAATGTTTATGTATAAATTTTGGAAAATTATTTGGAAGTGTGTTTGCAAACTGGTTAGGAGTCTAAAATGCTTGAAATGGAGACAAATCACCTGGTGACTCACAGGAAATAGAACCCGAGGTGGAGCTGATCAGATCCATTGCACTTGTGACAGCAGCTTGTGTGTTTGGGAGACTGTCACAAATGCACTTATTGAAAGAGAGAGGACTGCCTTATATATTTGGAATTTGTGCACAGTTGAAATGAGGATTTCCTCTGGCTGCCTGTTCTCTTAGGTCAAGGGTTTTAGCTCATGGGAGGTGTCTTCAAAAAGACCAGATCTCTAATATCTGTGATTGGGTTTCCATATTAATTTATTGATTTGAACAACATCCCAAGGCTTGTGACTATTGCTGTTCCTCACCAGCTTCAGTAAATCATGTTGGCTGGGGCCTCTTAGGTGGGATCAGGTAAGTCCAGTGCAGGCAGGTGGGAGGGCACAGATATATTTGTCCTTTCTGTTCAGTCTCCTTACGTTTGATCACATCCACAGAGTGAAATGTTCACACTCCCATCTCTTAAATAAATGCAGGTGGATAATACATTTTGAAGGAACTTCTTAAAATGCTCAACATGTTTCTATAATCCTGCATCCCTGGTTATTTCTAGGAGAAGGAGCTGCAGCTGAAGTTCCCTCCACCTTTGTGATCGTGTCTCTGTGTACCCTGGTCGTCCTGGTCATCCTGCTGGCAAACTGTGTCTCCTGCTGCAAAGACCCTGAGATAGATTTCAAGGTAAGCACTGAAGGTACCAATGTGTGTACAAGGGGCATTCTTAGCTGTATCCATATCCAGGATACTTGGATATTTGTGCTAATACCCTGCAGTTATTGATACTTGAGTGTCTCTGTTCTGAAATAGTCAGTGACTGTTCCTATGGGCTGTGAAGTCTTGATGCAACCATTTATTGTAACTGATTGGTCCCTGCTGCATAAGGGTCTTTAATACCTTTTCAAAATCATAACTAAACATCAGGATCAGAAGGAAAGATTATACCCTTGAGACAATTTTGCTGTGAAGAACCTTTTTGTTGTTTTTCTGTGCTTTCTTTTGTTTTTCTTAGTCTGCTGACAGGGTTTAAGACACTCCTGTTGAATAAGAATACTGAAGATGCAGATCCAGTGTAGCAAAACTCTTGAGAAATTGTTATCATTTGAGAATAGTTACTTCTGGAACATCAGTTATCAGTGTTCCTAAAACTGAGTTTTGCTCTCATGTTTAAATGGAGAATATTTGGCCTCAGCAGTTCATGGTAATTCATTCAGAGCCAGGGTTAGCATTTAAAGTAACAACAAAACAAAGCAAAAAACAAACCACCAAACCCACAAAAACCCAACCAAGGAAGAACCCCTTAAACCTCCTTTGTATTAAAAAACAGTATGTGATACTTTGATCTCTTTAAATCAGCAATAATTGGAAGATAAGGAATAGAAAACTAAGTCTCTGTCCCTGTCCTTGGCAAACAGCGAAGCCTCCTTAGCATTGCTCATTGGAACTGAAAGCAATGTATTTGTGCTAATTGTAAGACAAAGATCAGCTTGTTTACTAAGACTTTTTTGTTTAGGAATTTGAAGATAACTTTGATGATGAAATAGATTTTACACCTCCAGCAGAAGATACTCCATCTGTTCAGTCTCCAGCTGAAGTGTTTACTCTTTCAGTGCCCAATATTGCTTTGCCAACTCCCTCCCAGTTTCCGTCTCGTACAGGTAAAATACTGGTTTTCAATGGAAAAACAACAGTAGGCATTTTCAGTGTCAAAAACTGAGCGTGGCTGATTATGTTTGACTTTACTGTAACAAATAATTTGTTACAAACTTACATAAACTGAGCCAATACATTTTGTAGGGTATAGTTAAATGTTAAATACTGCTTCTAAGATATTAACCTGGGGCAGGGTGCCATGTAAGCTGGTGCAAGAGAATGAAACTCCCTTTAAAAACCCTCTGCAGATTACTGTCATTATATTTCTATGTACCTGAAGGGTTTAAAGTACCCTGGGACATCAGTGACTTCTGCTCTTTAGTGGTTTTCTTTGGGGCTAAGTTGTGGTTGGATTTTAGTCACTACCCTTAAATGGAAACAAAAACGAATCCCTCAGTTGCCAGCAGTGCTGCTGTTCAGCTGCATCACTTTCTGAATGTCACTGTAGACTGTTTGTGCTGTAAATGTGATCTTGGTAAGATAGAGCATTAGGTTTCATTTCCCTGTGTGGAAGGGTTTTTGAAATGTGTTCTTTACAATACAATTTCTGTGGAAGGAAACTTAAGCATCTTAGAGTATTATAGGCACAGTTTAGCCCAAAATGGTTGTTCTCATATTATGCTATGACACATAATTTTACATCTTGCTTTTGTTGCTTGATCACTAGATGTTCAGGGAAGCTTCTAGTAAAATTTCTGTACCAGTTTCAAGGAGCTGTCAGTGTGCCTTAATACAAATGACATGGTACTTCTCAGTGTTTTAAAGAGCTGGGGAAAATTATCTGTGAAGAATTTCATGTCAGCTCTTCTATGTTGCCATAATTGTTAAAATGATACTGTCACTACAAGTGTTTTGCCAGAAAGTAAGGCAGTGTGCCTGAATAAGGTTCATGGGTAAAAATGTGCTTGTGCTGCTGTGACCTTCTCTGTGCTTAGAAGCACATTGATGGTGTATAAAATATTCCAGTAAAATAATACTGCTGTAAAGGTGGTTAATGGAAATGAAATTGAGGGCTAGAATTCTCAGACAAGTCCTGGTGAGTTTTTGTTAGCATCTGATGAGTGTTCCTAACCAGTTGGGCAGCAGAGGGGTGAACACTGCTGAAACTCTCCTGTGGTGTGGGGTCTGCCATTGTTGCTGCCCATCCTCTGCCAAAGGCTGGGGCTTCTTTTCTGTCCTTTCCCTCTCTGGGCTCCTTACGTGAAGTATTTTTAGTTGAAAAATGTCCTCCTTCCAAGTAGGGCAGTTGGGCTGAAGAATAAAGCAGATGAACCTTTTCTCTTAAAATGGTAACTCTATGTAACTATAGATGTTAAGATGTACAATGAGTTTTATCTTGGGTTTTCTATTTTATTTACATAGGAAACTTGTGTAAGCAGGTTTTTTGCTCTGCCCAGCTACAGGCTATGATACACATTTATACTGGAGGTAGAATTTCAGCCTTTTTGCTTTCTTACTGGACATGTTAAAAAATTCTAAGTTCACATTTCATGAGGACAATCACTGTTGTTTTCTAGGGTTGGTTTTTTTCTAGTACAGTTTAGAACCTGGGCTTGAGAACAGTGTCACTTGAGTGCTGTTTTCACAGCATTACCACTACTTTATATATGTCTGACATGGGCTTGGTGCTTGGGCTGAATGTGTGCAGCTAACTGGGAATAGGTCCTGTAGGGGTTGCATTATTCCCTCAGCAGGTGATCACTTTGGCCATGTGGGTGGTTTGATACGTGTTACGTTTGTTTCGTTGTGTGACAGATGGATCAAAGTCTCAAGTTGCACGTCAGAGTCTAAACTACATCCAGGAAATTGGAAATGGCTGGTTTGGAAAGGTGAGGAATTATCTTTTAATATTGCACAGATTGAGTCTTACTCTTAGCTGACTATTCACTTCAAAATGGTATTCAAGAAAAAAAAGTAGTAGCATAAAAAACCCTGAAGTTGAAATGAGATATTTCCTTGCATTCACTTTTTAGCTGTAATCACAACACTAATCAGTGCTTCTTAAATTTACATGTTGATTCTCACTAGAGCTACTAGGCAGACATTTCACTTCCATGGATTTGAATTAATACATTCTTGTTATTCAAGTCTTTCTAGGAAAATATTTTAAGTAAATAAGTGGTCTTCCCTAGAAAACATGTTTTCTGAAAGTTGACATATAGATCAGTCGTCAAGATTTATTAATTATGGGTGTTTAATTATCAGAGCTTTGCTTGCCTTTGCAAAAAGGAAAAAGCCAGCAAATGTTTCTTAAAGCGTGTTTTTAGCTCTTGCAGGAAGACTCTGAGTACTTTTCCCCCTCTGATTAAAGACAATGGTATCTCTTTTTCAGGTTCTCCTTGGAGAGATCTACACAGGCTCCAGTGTAGCAAGGGTAATAGTGAAGGAGTTGAAGGCAAGTGCAGGTCTCAAGGAGCAAGAACAGTTTTTAAGAAATGGAGAACCATATTAGTAAGTAATGTTTCACAGCTTCCTACTGCTGCAGATGGATCATGGACATTGCCTTTGTTCAGTGTTGGTGTCCTCACTTGCCCTCCCATAGAACCAAAATACTTGTCTTTAAAAAGTGATACAGTCAATGCAAAGTGAGCAGAAGTTGTGGTCACTAGATTCCCTTGCCTGAATGTGCTGCGAGTGATCATGGAGGGCTTCTGTTCTTAATGCTTTCTTATATCCTGGTTATATTTGCATTTAGGCTTAGGTTGTTGGCAGTTGTCAGAAGAAATTTTGTGCCTTCTGCTGCACTGGCACAAGTGGTTTGGAAGCAATTTAGAAAAAGTAACTGATCTGGCTGGGAACTAACCTGGCTAAGAAAAGGGTTGGCCTTTAGCCAGATCTGCACCTTGGTGTAGTTCCTGAACCAGTTGCATGCTTTTATTTTTGGTACAAGGATGAGTGAGTTTCATGTGGCAGTGCTGGCTTCTGTGCTTCTGAGATGCTCTGAGTTTGGGCTGCTCTCAGTGATGTGCTGCAGCCCAAGGAGATGCAAAGGTGCAGGTGGAACCCGTGGCTTTGGGTACTTGCACCCTCTGTTCATGCCACCCCCCCAATGTTCACATGTTCTGTGTTGAAACTTGTGGTGGGGATTTCAGTGTGTTGTGTTATACTGTGATCTTTCTGGCTTTAACTGTATTTTTTCACTCCAGCATTCTTCAGCATCCAAATGTTCTCCAGTGTATTGGGCAATGTGTGGAAGCCATTCCTTATCTCCTAGTTTTCGAGTTCTGTGATTTGGTAAGTGCACTTATACAAAAGGCTGCAGTTGTTTTTCCACTGATGTAAGTGGTGTGTGGTGCATTTAGTGCCCTTGCTCATGAAATGCTTGTGTTTCTTAACCAGATTAACTAGAATTTTGATTAACTAGAATTTTGGTTAACCAGAATTTCAGAAGATGTTTTTGTTTAGAGACACCACAGTTATAATTTTTAGTTTGTACCCTTTTCAATTCATCATGTACTTTCTAGGTGCTTTTGGAATGTTCTGAAGAGGAAAACAGTTGTTCTTTCTTTGATAAAGGAATTACTGGTCTCCTTCAGTCTGCCTTCAAGAGGGAGCTGGGAGGGCAGAGGATATCTGCTATCACATGCACATGCCAACATCACATCCTAAATTATATTTGCTGTCTGGGCAACCTTAATGTACTTTTATTACTATATATGTGAAAATGTTAATTGAGGAAAATTGAAGAAAGAATTTTCTTCCTTCTGCCTTCTCCCCCACCTCCAGAGTGCCCAAAATTTACCCATGCTGTACAGCTTTGGGCTAAAATGCAATGGGATTAGCCATATGTATTCCAATACCTAGAATTTTCAGTTTGTGTTCATTCTCTTCCTGATCCTTTTTCTTACTGTATTCTTTTTTTCCCTATGGTCTTATTCTTTTATTTCACTTCCCACCCCCCAAGCAACTGCCTTCTGCTTCCTGGGCACCATAAGAAAAGCTGGGGACACACTGAAGGGTGTTCTCACTGCTTTCTGCTCTGTCGTCAGTGCCACAGTGGTCACTGAAATGGGAAGGAGAGCACAAAGCCTCGCTCAGCCACTACATTCCCTTGGAATGGACAGGAATGCTGGGAGGAGGGGGGTGCTGTGCATGTACAGAAGCTTTGAACTGTGCTCAGAGTCATCAGAGACAAATTTGGATCCATGGTCTGGAAAGACTTGAATTGTTTTATTGTAGCATAACACATCACTGAAAACAAACCCCAAAGTCCAGGTGTCTGACTAAACATTGGCTCAGGAGCTGCTTTAAAGTTTGGTGTGTAGATACCATCTAAAGCAGAGCTCCTTGGGAAATGTCGAGGCAGAATTGAACTCCAAAGTGCACAGATTAAGAAACAAGTCTTTCAGAAAGAAGATAGTTTGCATTTATAAAATTCAGCAAAATCCTTTTTAACAGCTTTACAACTGCAGAATTTTCCTTTCAATTCAGGTGCACAGATCTGCTTCTAGTTGTGTCTGTTGCCTCAAGCAATTTAAACGAGCTGACATGAACTTGAGTTTTCTTGAGAAACATCAATTAATCTGTGACCTTAAATAACTGTATTTTTTCATTGCTGCTCTTTTGCTCAAACATATTATCTGTGGTAAATTAATGAGACAGAAGTGCTGATAAAATCATTCTTTTTCAAATGGCAGAAATGCCTGAACTTTTCAAGTAACTGATCAAAGTGAAATGTTCCAATTCTGCTAACAATTAAAGACTTGGTGCCTAAGGTTAACAGATAAGAGTTTTTTATAGTCTTTCAATATGTAGAAATAGAATACTTCTTACTGGTTTTTAAATCTGCTATTCAAATTGGAGTTTCTTTAAAAGGACCCTTGAAAAAGAATTGCATTTCATGGAGTCCATCAGCTATACATCCAAATAAAATTTAATTGCTACCATGTTTTCAAATAGTTACACAATTTAAACCAACTTTAAATTTAAAGATGGAGTAACTTTTAAAGATTGCCCTAGTTTAGGTATACAGGAGAAAATAATATCCTTGTTTGATGCCTGATTATTTATGCCAGAAGTTGTCATGATCCTGCAGAGTAATCTGGAAAGGATTTTACTTAAGGGGATAAAATAGATTTTCACTTTAACTGGGGGCAGTAATCTTGACAGTTAAAGTGGTAGTTTTACAAATTTGAGTGTAGTTAGGTAATTTCTTTGGAATGGAAAATAAATGTCTGTGCTCATTTCTATTCCAAGTGAACTAAACCTTGTTTCTAGAAAATTATATATTATAGTGAGTTAAACATAACATTCACTTAAGGAGTTCTTGGTTGGTACAGTTGAGTATCTCCTAGACTTAGTATTTTTTCATTGTGCACAGAAATACACAGGGGCTGGTAATTTTGGAGTAAGGGGAGAGAAGAGACAGGAAGAAGGAAGCAGGACAGCACCATTTGGAATAGAAGGTGTTGACTAAACAGCTTTTTCTAGTACAGGTTTTTTAGGGGAGTGTCAGGAGGCTTTTTATCACTGTGGCTGGAATGGCAGTTATTTGGATTTTTCAGACTTTTAGTAATAAGTGTTCTCAAAAGCTGGTAGCTCCTTTTGTACTTTTTTCCCCCTTAAATTGGGTGAATTCTGGTGTATGGAGATGCTTCCAAAACATGCAAGAGTGATTCTGCAGCAGAAAGACCACAGGGGCAGCTGAAGGGATCACCTAAAGGTTCCAGTGTCTGTGGTGACTGTGTATTCAAGTGGGAACATCAAACATGGTCCTCTTTGGCTACCACTGGTACAGGGCTGTGCCAAAGCCCTTTGCCTTGTGTTACTGGTGGTGTCTTTGCACATACAACAAAGAGTAAACTTGGTTTCATCCCTTGTACTTACGTGATTAAGAATTCAATGGTTCTGAAAAAAGGTGTCAAGTATTTCAAGTGTGTTGGATAGGAAATTAAATATCTTCAGGTGACCAGTTCTTTTGAGGCCTTTTGGGCAATGTTGACCTCGTTTTGCAAATCTGGCATGTAAAGTAATGAAAAATGTGGCTGTTCTGCTGACCAGCAGGGTCTGGAGGGTGCAGTGGTTGTTTTATTCTCACTCCTTCAAACTCAGAGCCTATCCCAGCATGTACCCCTTTTGCTACTTCTCTCACTTGGATTTGTAGCCTTTTTAGGGCCAGTTGACCTTGCCTTGGCTGCTCAGGCAGCCCTGTTGGATTATCAGTTCCCAGGCTCCTTGGCATTGAAAGGTCTTGGTCAGAGGCACTGGAAACTAGTGCAGAGAAACCAGAGCTGTCAGGGTGGCAGTGCTGGATGTCAGGCAGGCTGGCTGACTTGTTTTCTTGGCCACAGAAACTACTGATACATTTCTGTTACACAAGATTGCTTGTTGTGTGTGCCATGACTGCTTTGGCTACCATTTAGCCTATTTTCTAATGTAATCCAAGTTGCTCTATGTCCCTTGCTTTGCAGAGCTGGGAAAGAAGCAAGAGAGCTCAGTTGCACATAAGTGATTTAAGCATTTAAATTCTAATTTTCCTTCGCTTATGTTAAAATGGTTAAGAAAATAGTAAATATAAAAAGAAATGCTTGAAAAGGTCTCACACCCCCTCTGCCCATATTGGTTTGCATAGTCTGTTGGTGCAGTCTGCTATGAATAGTTAACTGTTCACTGTTAAACATTGTAGAATGATGCCAAGTTAAAAATAGTGGTAGCTGCCTTATTAACTTTAATATATTACTTAGCCCTTATGTGGCCTGCATTTTGTCTGCACAGCAAATCCTCTAATGGATTGACATAATTTATGAGAAAAGGAAAGTTATTCAAATGTGGAAGTTGCATGTATATTGTGAGGCTGATTTGCCTATCAAATTCTTACAGAAATTCTTCAGGTCTTGCAATTCCCTGAGCAGATGAGATCAGCAGGATGCAGTATTTGCCTGGAATGCTCTGTAGCTTGCTTTAGGGATGTTGCTGTCAGGGGAAGGTGCCAGCTTGCAGTGGTTGGTTCTTTTTTTAATTTGGGCTTTTTTTTTTTTATTGCTGCCACTTGAAAACATCTTCAAATCAAAGCAGAACCTTTGCAATGAAAACTTCATCATCAAAGAGTTCAATGAATCTGTTTAATAATCATGGTCAATATGGATATGGGGCAAATAGATTTTTCAGTGGTGTGGTTTAAAAAGAAGGGGAAACTCGTCAATTCATGACAACTTCAAAAATTATGTCTGAGTTGAAAGACTCTGCTCTCAGCACTGTTTAATATTTCTTAAACATATATCTGCCTAAGCAAGGTTCTGATGAGGAAGGTGCTCTATCCCATACTGCAGTTTCAGGCATTTTAATGGGGTGACTGCAGGGTTACTTACACTGCAAAGCAGTGGAGGGGGAGGCAGGGGCAGTGATTTCAGTTGTCCAAGAACTTCCAAAGGGACAATAAGGTGCTATTGTGTGACTTGGCAGGTAGTTTTCCAGCATGGTAGCAAGTGTTTAGTAGATATAATCTGGTAACCTCTTTAGATTTTTAAAACCATTATCATCAGTGCTTTCTGGGTTAAAAAGTCATGTCAGAGCCATGTCAGTCGTGTTGGCTGTTCCTGTGAACCCAATATGGAATTTGCACGAGCAAAAATCTGCCAAAGGGTACCACATGTAAATGTGCCCCAGCTTCTGGCTGTCACAGAGAAAAAGCATATTAAGACTTACCTAATAAGTAAGTGGCTGAACTGATCCTGACTGAACTGAGAAGGGTGGGAGGAAAGGTGAACTCCAGCTCTTTGTGGGGTCCCAGGAGAGGAAGGAAAAGGCAGAGTGGCAGAGGAAATTGGAGAGAAAGTGGAGCCTTCCTCAAGCATGATTATTGAGCTTTTTATATTTAGATGTCTCTGCAGTGAATTTTGCAGAACTGCATTTATTCATATATATATATAACCTTTGATATTTACTGCATTAAAAAGTCTGTCGATAAAGGGCCATTTTGTGGCTCTCAGTGTGGGGATAGTATTGCTGTGTTGCTGCTGCCTGCTTTTAGACAGGGAGGCATCCTTGGATAATTCAGGATAATTCTCCACTCCAACCTCCTGCTCAAAGCAGTGTCAGCCTGAGGTCAGACTAGATTTCTCAGAGTTTTGTCCATTTGGATCCTGAAAACATCCGAGGATGGAAATTGCACCTTCTCTCTGGGCAACCTGCACTTCTGCTCATGTCCTTGTGTGTAAAAGAGCTTTCCTTATACCGAGTGTGAACTTTCCATGTTTCAGCTCATGCCTGTTGTCTCTCATCCTCCATCCATGGTCCACAGGGAGAACCTGGCTTAGTCTTTAATAACTTCATATGGACCAGGCAGCTGCTACTGGGTGCTCCCAAGGTCTTCCTTTCCCTGGGCCTCTCCTCCTGGTGTAGTGCTCTGAGCCCTGACTGTCTTGGTGGCCCTCTACTGAACTCATTCCTCTACTGAACTCAGTTTGTGTTGTTTTGGGGCAGCCAGTACTGAACACAGGATCTGATAAGATCTGACAAGTGCTGGGCAGGAGAGAACACCTTCCCTGGCTCTCCTGGTCCAGTCCTGTGTGTGCAACTCTGGAGGCTGTTCCCAGTCTGCTCCCAGGGCACACATAGGGTTGATGTGGAGCTTGCTGCCCACCAGGATCCCCAGGTCCTTTCCTGCACAGCTGCTGCCCAGTGGCTGCTCCTCAAGCAGTGTTGTTGCAAGGGGTTTTTCCTTCCCAGGTGCAGGAGTTTGCATTTGTCTTTCTGGAGTTTCATAAGGTTCCTGTTGGATCCTTTTTCGGCCTGTCCAGTCCCTCTGAAGGGCAATTCGACACTTGAGTATGGCCGTTGGTTCCCCCCAGTTTGGTACAAGCAATGTCCTTTTAAAGCAACACTAAAAATACCTGGTTTATATTTTTAAACTTGATCGTAACTTTAATTAGAATAGAATGGGAACGCAGAACCAGTATGTTTCAAGGTGCTGGATTTAATAAAAGTTGGTTTTCCTACAAAAATAAGTGCCTGCATGAATAATTTACTAAATAAGGGATGTCACACAGCACTGCTGTTACTAATGCATTTAAAATTTAAAAAGTATTCTTCGGTGCGCTTCAGGCATCCTAGGAACTTAATCCACCTGGGACAAGCCCTAAGCAAGCAGTTGCTGTTTTAATGAATGACAATTTGGGAGAGTTTGTGTTTCTCCAGGCTCCTGCTGCCACCTACAGTCAGCTCAGCTGAGTTCAGTGCTTGTATTCCTTGGGCTTGGATTCCTGCTGGGAACCCGTGTGTGTTACAAGTGCTGTTCTTTCTGTAGTTGTTTGGAGCTCTGCTCTGGCAAGATGGAAAGGGGGGGGTGTCTTTGTTTTGTATATAAATGTTTATCCATATAAACCTGAGCCCGTATGAAGTGGTAATTGTAAGTCACAAAGATCTTTTGGGAAACATTTTAAAAAATGTAATTCTGTAGGATGCAAATACATCAATGTTAACCTAATTACTAGCTAGAAACAGGATAAAGAGAATGTAATGAAGGCTTCTACAATGTCAAACAGTATTAGAAGTTCTACATGCTTTCTGCTAAGGTGGTGTAGCCACTTTCAGCATAGGTAGAATATCCAAAGCAAATGAAGGTAGAACAGCTGCTTCTGTGTCCTGTAGAATCTATTCATGTTTTTAAAAATTAAAATGCTGTTTTGCAAAGGATTAGTGTCTACTTCTAAGTAGTTCTTGTTTTATTAAACATATCCCAGGTTTGTGACTGTCCAGCTCAGCTGTCACTGCACTGTTACACTGTAGTGCACCACAGACATTCTCTGCCTGAACTATTGGAATTGTAAATTGTCTGCTTCAGTTAACACATTAAGGACGAATGAGATGCTTCAGTTATAGCTCCATAATTATGTGAGCACCAGAGATCTTCAGTCTTTTCTGGACATCAGGGTGGCTTTTAGCCAGTGCAAAGACTGTCTTGTCTGCTCAACCTCAGAATCTCCCTTCAGTCTCCTTCCTGGCCCGAGATTTGGGCATGGACATGGACAGTTAGACCCAGTGAAATAAGTTGTGATATAATATGTTGTTCAGTCTCAATACAGAAATGCCCTCTGAAATAATTTGCTAAACATTCAGAAAGTCTATATTTTAAATAACAAAAGCTTGGGAGTGCTGGGTTTAAAGACCCAACTGTGAGAAAAGGAACAACAATGCCATGGGAAACTTGTTCTTTTCCCCCGCTTGGACTCATTTACTGTAAGTCTTCCTTTTCCTGAATGTTTGGACAGCATTCAGGTATTTTCCCTCTATTTCAAAGCTGTTCTTTTTTTAGTAGTTTATGAAGTGCTTCTCTGGGCTCATTAATTATGTGTCTGTTGCTCAGTGTTGCCTGGGTTCAGGAAAACTGCTGCCATCATTGGAATTCTTGATTAGAGTGGGTGTATTACCATGCTTTTTATATTGAAAGTTCTGTGAACTGGCAATGTCTGAAACCCTCTCCTCTGGTCTCTCCCTTCCTTCCCTTACAAATTCCAGACAGTCAGCCTTGCTGATTTGGAGCACTTGAAAACTCATTTAAAAACAGAGGCTCATCAAACTTTGGTTTTTTTAATGGAAAGTATTAAAGTATGACAGGTTTTATGTGGCAGTCTGATCTAGGTTGTTAATTACTAATGATTTGATTAAAACCCCTTGAAATGACAATAGCATATGCCTTAGATGGCTTCTGTAAGTATCCCTATGGAGAATGGAATCTTGAGATTATTTTATTAAGCACAAGTGTGGTTAATAAGTACTGTGGTCAGTTGGATCTTCATTACGAGATTTTCAGATTCAACCAGCATACAAGGCTGATGAATATTTTCAACTTCTTTTACAGGGTGACCTGAAAACTTATCTGTGCAATGAGCAGGAGCACATGAAAGGAGACTCCCAGGTAATGCTGCTGCAGAGGATGGCGTGTGAGATCGCTGCTGGCCTGGCTGTGATGCACAAACACAACTTTGTGCACAGGTATGACTCCCAGAGAAATCTCATCCAGCTGGGATGCACTCTGAAATTCCTGGGGGTGTGTTCATTAAAATCCATGCATCAAAAATTGTTCTGTCTGTGCCATACCCTGAGCCAGGCAGATGTGGTGCTGATGAAGGAGCTCACTGAGCTGCAGTGCTGTGGTGTTGCAGCTCCACCTGCCTCAAAGCTGAGCACCTGCAGCCCAGAGAACACAACCTGCTGCCAAGCCAGCCCAGAAGATGTAGTTTGGTTAATTCTTGGCCAAGTTAAATTTGTTTATTGTGGGGGGAGGGATGTTAGAACTTTGTTACAATGAACCTTACCTGCTGTGAATCATAAAAATTTAGGACTTCTGTTTGGTGGTCTGTTACCTTTGTTACTAAAATTGGAAAAAAATGCCTTTCTAATGCAGTAAGGGGGAAGCTGACTTGAGACAGAAAATATGACTAAAATGGGTGTTCTCTCCCTGAATTATTGTTCCTGTAACCTTTTCATAGTCAGTAATTGAGGTAGTCAGATTTTGAAGTAATCATACTGGGAGAACAATTTTGTTCGAACTGGGGGGGAATGCTAGATTTCTTTTTAATTAATATAATTATTTTAAATTTAATGTAATTGATATTGAAAGAATGGCAGTAGTTGCAAAAGGCTGGGAAAACGTATTCATGAAACTAGTTGCTCAGAAAAATGCAAAAATTAATCTATTGGCTTTAAGTGAAAAGGTTCTAAGGAACTGGAAGACATCAACCTTTAGGATGATTAAAATATGAAAGTGTACTTGTTCCCCAAACATGACTGACTTGGTGAAGCCTTGGGTATCACAAGAGTTTACTTTGCTGGTCTCTCCTTTCCTGTAGAAACAGGACTTGCATCATCCTGATGAGCAAGTCAGGAGCTTGTCCTGGAGCTTATCAATGCACATCTTGCTGCTTAGAGAAAGCAGAGACCTTGTGTTCAGAGAGAAATGAGCTGAAGTGTCAATAGGTGCAGGTGTAAAACGACAGCAAAACCCTGAAAAAACCCTAAAGCCTGGACTCAGCTGGTGGCTGATGAGCAGAGCTCCTCTTTTCACCCATTTAACAATCTCAAATGACTTGAAGGTAATACCAATTGTACCTGTCTAACTGAGGGGGCAGTTTCTTGTCTTCAGCAGCATGGCTCTGTAGGTGTTAAATTTAACAGCACATTTTCAGTGAAATACAGATAAACTGGGTAAATAATTATTTTGTGGATCTGCAAGATTCTCACTGTAAATGTTTACTTCTAGCAACACTATCCTGATGCTGTCAGAGTAAGTGGTAAATCTCCAGCATCAGTGATTTTGTTGTTAGTGGTAAATTCAAGCAGCCAGAAATTTTTCTCTTCCAGGATATTTATTTAAATAGTATAAAACAACTTGGCAAGCTCTGGGGAATAATTGAAGGTTACAAATGTGTTTCTAACCTGTGTAGTTCAATGATTCTAGAAAGGAAAACATCATCTTTCTTTGAAACAGGAAAACTGTGTGGTTTTAAGGCTGTTTGTACTTCAGAGACTTTTTTAATCCATGCAGAAGCAAAGGTAGAGCTGTTCCAGGGCACTTAATTGCCTGGTCCCCTTCTGTGAAACTGAGAAGTGAAATATTTGAGCAATTAGTCTGCTGAGCTCTTTGCTGTCACAGCCACAGTTCCAGCTTCATTAAACTTGCATAAATTTCTGAGTTTGCACGATGGGTTTCCTAAAACAGCTTCTTGGTATTATTGCAGCAGCACTGCTGGCTCATGAATACTTGTGGTCTGGTTTATGGTGGAAACTGGAAGCAACTTCTGTGTCTGTTCAAGAGCTTTTTGATTTGTTTATTAAAGGACTTGTATGAAATACGTTACTTTTTTGGTTGATCTTTTTCAAAGACTGTAGTTCTGGCTCATGTGTAAGGTATGGGTTTGTTACTTAGAGGAACTTAACTGTGGGTGTAAGATATTACTAGTTGCTTGGTATCATACTGTAAAGTATTTAAACCCAGTCTGAATTGTCGATAGACCTTCCTTAAGGTAATTAAATTCAAGACATGCAAGGATAGGTGTGAAGAGGGACAACACCTCTGTGGTGTGTGAACAGCCTCAGTAATCTCCAGGATAGGATTATTAGTAGAATGAAATAACTGCACATAAATTCTGTGTGTGGTTTGAATGCTTAAAAATAAATGCCACTGCTCTAAGGAAATGACTACAGTTTGAACTTTTTTATACAGGACAGCGTAGTAGTCTGAGCTTTTTGTATAAAATCTTTAAATGTGATTACCTTGTCACTGTGTTTAATTTTCTTTGGGTTCCAGAACACAGATTCTGCTTGACTGTGTGTCTATAAACTGATTTTCTTTTGAAACAGTGGGAGTCCCCAAGGGAAATCATATCCTTTTGGCCACAAACAAATGTCCAATAAGTCCAATGTCAGGAGAAACCCCAGCAGTGTTTGTTTTTTCTGGAAGTGATCAGTGTTTGTACACACTGCAGTGTCTGCAGTATTCCAGGGAGATATAGGGTCAGATTTTAGCTTGTACAAAATTGATAAAACTGTAAGCAACAAGAAGGCTGTCTTGAGGTTTAGTTTGGATCAAAATGGGGCTTTTGAAATTGCTCTCCCCAGTTCCTGTGCCTGTGTTTGCATTGTGTGAGCTGGTCTTTGGGAGAGCATGGGCTGGTTTCGTGTCCTCCAAAGGCGATGAGGAGGGCAGTTCCAGGAGCACACCCTTCTGCACCCAGCGTGCTTCAGCCTTCAGTAGCATTTAGGTTTGTGGGATTGCCCTGCAGCTCTTGCACATGGGATTGTTGAAGTGTATCCAGAGCGGATGCTGAATCCTTGGCACTGTTTGTGTTACCAATTAGTTCCTGCTACCAATGACTGTGACCTATAACTGTGAATAAGTCCTTGATTTCTTAATTATTTTTTTTAAATAACTTTGTTGGCTTTTCATTTGGTGCTTTAAGCTCTGGCCTGACTCTTCCAGGAGATGTCACTTCTTCTGTTAAACCCATTGTCTCAATTTGCATGGAACACTTCTAGGTTTGTCTCACTGTAATTTGTTTGCATTTTCAGTGACTTGGCCTTACGGAATTGCTTCCTGACATCCGATTTAAATGTCAAAGTAGGAGATTATGGGATAGGATTCAGTAGGTATAAGGTAAGTTAATGTAGTTGTGCACCACTGTTTTTAAGGAACTGGGGCCTAAAGTTAAAACGAGCATCCTTTAAAGTTACAAAATGATACTAGATTGTCCTTTATTTGAATAAAGAACTTTCAAAGTACAACTGGCAAATAACTGTAGCAAGTTGATGTACCAGAATAAATGAACTTTCTAGGGATGAGTAGAATTTGTGCTTGTAGGAAGAAGCTTCTGGTAAATCTACCTTTTTAGGTCCTGTTTATAGTAGTCCTAAAATATGAACAAATTAATTTTAATGAATTTTAAGGCAAAAATTGAAAGAAAAATTCAAATTTCTTAATGAAATTTTTAACGATATTTAAATGTATCAAGAAAGTGAAAAATCCAAGACATAAATTAAAACGTTCTGTGAGTACTAATCCTTAAATAAGAAATTGGCAGTCACGTTTTCTGCTATGCAATGACCAGTAAATGCCTTTCCTCCATTGCTTTATTCTCTGCTAGTTGGGAAAAATAGAATTTTTTTTTAATTATGATTATTTTACATAGACATCACATAAGACCATATTAAGGAAAGAACTGTCAATGTTTGGAATTCGATCCAATGTTTGTTCAGTCTCTTGTTTTGTTTTGTTTTCTTTTTTTAATCAATAATTTAGGAAGATTATATTGAGACAGATGAGAAGAAACTTGTTCCTCTCCGATGGACTGCACCTGAGTTAGTAACAAGTTTTCAAGACAGACTGTTATCAGCAGAGCAAAATAAATACAGTAACATATGGTATGTAGAAGGCCTTAAAATTACTTCAATGAGAGATTTGTGAACAGATTTTCAAATATCAAATGAAGGAGTAAATAATATTTAAATTGTCCTGTCTTATTTCATCAGATGTACAGTAGGGTAATCTCTGTAAGCCTGAAACTGTGTCTTGCTTTGGAAAGATGCTTAGAAATCTGTTGAGAGAATAGTTGGAGTAAGCAAAAATGTTTAGCAGAAAAATAGGTGTTTCTGCTAATAAAAATCATTACTGTGTGTTTGCCAAGTGCCTTCAAATGTTTTTAAAGGAAAGAGATGGTGAGTGGTGTTTCCAATAATGAGCAGCTGGGGATGACATGAAAAGTTGATCCCACTAGACCTCGATTTAAGTGCCATTGGTAGAACAGTGGCATCTTAATTAAAATGCTGTGTTCTTGCTGCAGCATTTGAGGGCAGCAATTAACTGTTTGTCTCTGCTCCAAAGAGCTGATAAACAATGGCTGGGGAAGCTCTTGAAGAGGAACATTTTTGAAATTGCCAAGTTCTACTTCAGTTCTCAAGCCCCAAGAAATTTGGATGATGGAAATTGTGGATTAGGCTAACATTTCTGAAAACACTAATTAAAAACTAGGCTTTATTTGCTGATTTAAAGGTAGGGTTGCAGAATGCAAGTGGGATAGATAGAAGTTATGTAAATACTGATTTGCTTCCATCCTCCAAGTGAGCAAACAGTTCTTCTGTTCATCTTGGGTTAGTTCATCTGGACTATGAGCAGCTGGGGTCTTAAGGTTTCCAAGTGGAATTTTAGTGCCTTTCCTACAGAATAGCTTTGGACTAGATAATTCCAGACACCGCTTCCAATCTAAATTATTGTACTGTAACACATGCAGAGTGAGTTACTTTGCATTTTGAGCACAGAAAGATTGCTCGTGTATTAACTGTAATCACTGAAAATGTGGTTAGTGTTGTGTACAGTGCATGTACAGCACTGAGCAGAGAGGCAGCTTTTGACCACTGCAGCTGAAAAATAAGGAATTTTTTGAAAGCTGAAACAGAGGTGAGTTTTTTAGCAGTTTAACCCATAACTGCAGTTTCTGATGAAAGCTTTTTCTTCTGTTCAACTTACCATGAGGCTTTTTCATCTTGCTTCTACACGTAACAACTTGCTTCAATACATAATAAAAAAATATAATGGGTTTTTTTTATTATATGTGGATTTTTTCCCATGGTTGAGTAATTTAAGGCCTCTTATCTTTTGTTGCCTTCATTGTCATTGCCTTCAAGCAACTTTATTCTTCAGGCTTCTGACATTCTGTCAAATAAAACAAGGTAACAGGTTCTGAAGTTTAGAATTGTTTAGGGACAATGGGCAGTTGTATTTATTTCTTCTTGCCAGTTATGCTTTGCATGTCCTTACTTTCTTAGAAAAGCAACTCTAAATTAGTTCTCAACCAGAATGCACAGTGACTTGCTGCTCTGTCCCAGGTCCCTGGGGGTGACGCTGTGGGAGCTGTTCGAGAACGCTGCTCGGCCTTACTCGGACTTCTCCGACAGGGAAGTCCTGACCCATGTCATCAAGGAGAAGCAAGTCAAACCCTTCAAGCCACGTCTGGAGCAGCCCTACTCTGATAGATGGTAAACTGCAACTGTTTTTATTTATTCTTAAAGCTGCTGAAGAAGTGTCTCAAATTACTCAGCTCTCTTAAGTATATTGAAATTGCTACATAGAATCATTCTCCTGGCAAACCCTGGATAAAGGGGTAAAAGGACTTGCTAGAGGTGGAAGTTCTTGCCAGTGGTATTGGTACTCTGAGGCTTGTTAGATATCTGACTTTTATGAATTCCTTTTCAGTGTGAAACCTATTGAAACATGTTTCCATTTGTGTAGGTATGAAGTTCTGCAGTTCTGTTGGCTGCCTCCAGAGAAGAGACCGACGGCAGAAGAAGTGCACAGACTCTTGACTTACCTCCGCATGCAGAGCCAAAGGGACTCGGAGATCGATTTTGAACAGCAGTGGAATGCTCTGAAACCAAACACCTCTAACAGAGAAACAAGTAATTCTGCATTTCCAATCTTGGATCACTTCACAGGAGATAGACTTGGCCATGAGCTGGAGGAGGTTCTGACTGTAACTGAAACAAGCCATGGGCTCAGCTTTGAGTATATCTGGGAGGCAGCTAAACACGATCACTTTGATGAATGTGGTCCCGTGAATCCTGAGGAAGCAATGACCTACACAAGTATTTTCTATCCAGTGGAGGTGTTTGAGAGGTCACTGTCGGAGCAAGGATCGGGAGCACAGGATGGAAGTGGCCAAGAGGCATCACTTGCTGTCCCTGGGGTGTTACCTGTGTTTGATGCACACAAGCTTTCTGTGGGAAATGACTACTATATCCAATTAGAGGAAAAAGGAAGTGGCTGCAGCATGAATTTTGATAACCAGTCAGTTGTGCTAACAACAGAAGTTGATCATCAAGAAGCTGTACAAGAAAAAAGTTCTCATTTCACGGTTCTCAGGGATCTTGATGTTGAAGAATCTAGTACTGATGGGGACTTCTTCCACTACAATACAGATCCTAAAGAGGAATTTTTGCCTGCTACTGGTAGCCCAGAAAGTCCTTTCCAGAGTATATTTAATGCCATTGACAGATCAGAAGAACTGACAAACAGAAAAATACTTGGGTTTGCTGAAACAAATGATATTCCTAAAGACTTCAAACCGGCTGTTTTGAACTCAAACACAGATGATAGAAAGGCAATAGGATGCTCTGAGGAGGAGCATTCTAGTCATACTTCTGAAAAAGAAACAGTTTCCTTATGTGAAAATATCTCTAACCAGTCTGATGTGATATCTTTAGAAGAACTTTCTGATAACTTCTTATTTCTTCAAGAGAAGAACTTATTAACAGGGTTATTCTCTAAGAAAACCAGCAGTGATCCGGGGCAAAAATCAGATGATGTTCTAAAAAGTATATTAGAAACTTCAAATAAAAACTCTGTAGAACCTGAGCCTGTGCTGGCTGAAAATGCACAGGTCTTTTCTTTAATACATGAGAGTCTTAAAGCAGTGAAAGATGAAAATTTTAACCCAGTGACACTGAATAAAGATCTGAATTCTCAGACTCCTGTAGAGGTGCAGGCATCTTCTAGTCCACCTGCAGCACATAAATCGTGTGATAAACATGGAAATCTTCCTATTTTGAAGGATGAGGGAAAACTTTCAAATGTAGAAGTGAATGAAGTTGTGTCCTGTAACACTGATACTTTCTGTCAAGAAGAGCTATCCTATAATGCCAAAAATAATAATGTTGGAAATGGTCCTTATTATGGTGTTGCTGTTGAAACAGATGAGTGTGATGCACAGATTAAGCAGGCACTGCTTTTCAAGTCTGATGAAATAACTTTTAATGGAGAAAAATGTAGTGATCAGGAAGATAGGAAAAGAAACTTGCAAGATAGTTCTCCCATGTTAAAAAAAAATGAATGTTTATTGGAGGAAATACAAGAAACATCAAATCACTTTGAGAACTGTAAGGATGTTCCAGAAGAGGTGACCTTAATTTCTGTTGCTGCTTCAGACTGTACAAGTCAGGATAGTCTTTTGGAAGACAGCCCTTCTCCTATACAAACTGTAGAACAAGCCTTAGAGACACCTGATTCTTTGGATTCTTTAGATGTAAATGAGGTTTTAGAATCTTTACAGACTCAAAGTCCTCAGAAACTTTTGCCACCTGATAAACCTGCTGACAGTGGCTATGAAACAGAAAACCTGGAATCTCCAGAATGGACTTCCCATATCCCTGTTGAGGATGCTTCCAGTGTGGATACAGCTCTGTGTGGCATCAGCGAGAACAGTGTCAGTGCTTTACCCTCTAACCCAGTCATCATTGTTTCAGAAGCAGCAGCTTGTTTAGATGCAGTGAACAGCAATTTTGAAATAACCCCAGTGGTTTTTCTGGGTGGAAATCAAAATTCCTATAGAGACTCTGCCTATTTCTCTGATAATGATTCTGAGCCAGATAAAAAACAAGAGGAGTCTGTAAATCTGTCAAGAGAGCCTGTGTGTGTTGTTTCTTCCAGCAGAGGGGAGAATCATACAGAAGAGACTTATGGGTTTGAGGAGAGCCAGCAAATCTGTGATGTGAGGAATTACGAGGAGGATGATAATCCAAACACAACACTAGAACTAAACCACGATTTAGAGATCCAGGAGATGGATGTAGGGATGCAGGGGTGTCCTGATGAGTGGGCTGAGGCAACTCTGACTTCCCTGGGAATAGAGATGGAAGGCAACCTAAGGGATGAAATAAAACTATCAGAGACTTCCCATAAGAGCGTCTCTTGTGTTGGCACTAACACTTCAGAACTTCTTTCACACAGAGACTTAAAGTCTGTGCACAACATGCACAGTCCTTTAGATCTGAGTAACAGTGAGAAGTCCTTCTATCACATGGAAGGACAAAAACTGAAAGAGCCAGATATTGAAGGGAAATACCTTGGGAAACTCAGTGTTTCTGGAATGCTTGATTTAGAAGACGGTGATGATGCAGATGAAGAAGATGAAAACAGTGATTCTGAGGATGACATGAGGACTTTTCATATGCACAGTCTGAGTTCTGACAGTGAAGATGAAACTGTTCATCAAGTACCTGAGATAGTTACAGACAGGGATGATGGAAAGCATTTGAGAAGCTTGTTGAAACTTCCAAAACCTCTGAATGAAAGGCAACATGAGCTTTGGAAAGATGAGAAAAAGGCTGTAACGTTCTTTGATGATGTGACAGTCTATTTGTTTGATCAGGTAATTTTTTAATTACTGACTGAAGTTTTTGTTGATTTGCTTCTTTGTGTGTTAAACAAGTAGTAGTAGAATAAATAGCTTAATATTGGGGAAAACCTTTTTAAAACATTACCTTTCTTGTTTTGGCAGGGTTAGAGCTTGTTTGAGATGTGGGTTATTTTTATACATAAAGAATATATAAGAAAGAAAAAAGAACTTTTTTGCTTGGCTAGGTGCAGTTTTATGTTGCTGGTAGAATAGCAGCACTAATTTAAAGTGAAGGAGGGTTTTGCTTTGGGCAGGGTTGATTGCCAAGTCCTGAATCTCTATTGCTGTTGGACCCTTGACTGCATGTGCTGATGAAACATGTTTTTTAGTGATGTTTTTAAGCTGTATTTAATTTGACTATGTGAGACAGCATCACTATGGACCAGATCTGATCAATTTATTTTGACAGAATATTGTTGTAACTTTATAGAAGCAGCTTATCTGTTTAATGTGTTTGAGGACTTTGAGTTCAGATGCCTTTATAAAAGAATGGAAGAAAGGGAAAAAAGCCAACAACTAACAAAACAAAAAAACCCCAAGCTGAAACCTGACTCTGACTGTTGTGTTACTTAGCATTAAGGCAAATTTACCTAAAATCATGAGCGAAGATGAGAACAGCATGTAGATGGTAATGCTAATTTTTATTAATCCAGTGTGATTCATGTTCAGTGAAATACTGATCTGCTTATAAAATTCAAGGTTACCTTTGTTTCCCTATCTGCTTTATCAATTTTTAACTTCTGTAACTGGATACAGAGGGGATTGTATTTTAACATTATGGCAACTAAACTAGTCCAGTGAGTTTAAAAGAACAGTCACATTGTCAAGCTTTGGAAGTGTTGCTTATGATGACGTACGTAAATATTGGAGTTAACTGTGTTTTGGAATAGAAAACATAGGTGATATATTTGTGTTTAGGTAGCCTGTAGAATAGTAATCCTTTTGTCAGAGGGGAAGGAAAAAAATTAACTGTATTGAAACTGCTCTTAGTTGTTGAACTCTTTACTTGTTATTCCAGTAACTGATAAAATGTTGGCTGCTTCCAACACCAGCTGTACAAAGTCTGTCTCTTTATCCTAAAGCTTGATTAAAAGAAAAATAAAATGTTGGGAGATGGGATAAGGCTTTATTAAAGAGGAAAAAAACCCCTACCTATGTTAGGCTGATAAGGGAACTGTTTTCAATTGGAAGATATTTTAGCTTTGTTCCTAGAAATATGAAACCTTTTTATATAATAAATAATATTTAAATAGTGATTTCCTGCATGTATTTCAGCGCAGACGTGATACAGCTTTCATTGGAACTAGAAGTACTTACATGTGCTTAATCTATAGCTCAGAGTTTTGTTGTGTAGTAGGAACAGTTCACAGACCTTTTAATTCCACATTTGACCTGATGGCAATGTGGGGCAGTGTATTTGTGGTGCAGGGACACGTTGTGTGGAAAAACAGTGACAGCAGTGCCTTTGTTTGCCTCAGGAAACCCCCACCAAGGAGCTGGGAAGCCGTGGGGTGGACGTGAACGGGGAAGGCGCTGGCAGCTCTCCTGTCCCATCCTCCAGTCTTGGCTACTTAAACAGATTTGCAAATTCAGAAAGCTCAACAGATGAAGAAGGTACTTGAATATGTTTATACACAGCAGGGACTGAGACTGTTTTATGCACAGTCTTTTATGAAATGTCATTTAAATTAGATGTGATTTGTAAATTCACTGTACCACGTTGGCTTCAGTTTTACATCCTAAGCACACACTGCAGTTGGGATCAGATTCCCATGTTCCTGAGGAGCAAAATGTGATACTGGTTGTTTATATATTGATGTGTCCAGGGTATCCTGAGAGGAAACTAAACTGTGGGTGACCAATCTCTAGCCCAGGGTACAGGTTTTGTTTGGGGTTAATGCAGTGTTCCAGGGGCATACTTGTAAAGCTGTGTGTGACCTTCCATTACAGAAGTGTAATGATGCTTTTTGCTCTTTTTTCCCCTCAAGGTGGGGGCTTTGAGTGGGATGATGACTTCTCCTCTCCAGAGCCATCCTTTATATCCAAGGCAGCTAATAGTCTTATTGGTTCTAAATCACCCCTTCAGCCATCAAAGTACTTCTCTCCACCTCCACCTTCCAGGACTCTTGATCAGAACTGGTCACATTCATCCCCTTATTCCAGATTCTCTATCTCTCCTGCAAACATGGCAAGCTTTTCTCTTACCCATCTTACAGATTCAGATATAGAGCAAGGAGGTAAGTGATTTAGTTGTAATAATTATTTTAAAGATGCAAGGTAAAAATGTTCTGCAAAGATACAAGTCATAGGTTCAACAAATCTTGTTCTATTTTAAATGCTTAATGTATAAATGCATTTTTAGCACTATAAAGGTAATATCTGGTCTTGTGTTTCAGTTAAGACATAGCTTTCCATTGAGATTATTTGCATCCAAGTTGCTATAAACTTGTAAGTGTTCCATAGACTGTTCAACCACAGGACAAGCTCTGAATTTTTCTGGTAAAAACCCTAGTGCTGTATTTATATAAATGAAACCTCTGCAGTCCCTAAGCACTGCTGTTACACCTGCCACACTGTAGCACTTAATAATTCTGATTATTGCACTGTCCTAAGTCACAATTGTGTTTTCATTGCACAGGTGAGGATGCCAGGAACGTAATGTTTCTGCCATTATTGTGTGAGCTTATTTTACAGTTTAGTTTCTTTTCATATTGCTTTTTAGACAGTGCATTCTTGACATTCTCTCAAGAATTGCAGCATTTTTTCAGGAGCTGTGAGTAGGATAGTTTCTGTTAGGAGAGCCAAACAATCTGTTCAGAGCAATATTGAGTACCAGCAGTATATTTATTACCAAGCCTTGTCTGTAACAAAAAGCTTATTTAAGCTTTGATATGTTTTTGAGGACTAAGAGAAGCAAAAATAAGGAGACTTGAATCAGTTTGGCATATTATTAATCTCAATAACACGTTGCATTATTAAAAATAAATGTTACTGATTGCAGAGCCTTGCTAATGGGCAATGTCTATAAATGTGTAATTAGTATTAAAGAGAGTTGTATTGTTCCTGTATTGTGCTTATTGATTAGATAATGTTTGCTGCTTAGTAACTTACAGATAAGAGAGATTGTTTTGGACATCCTGCATTGCCTTATGTGTCCTGGGAAGTGACATTGAACTGTGTGATTGAAGCAGATGTCTATGAATAAATGTACCGAATGTTTACAGTAGTTGAAAGCTGTAGGGAAAGATTAACCAAACCAATGCCAAGTTCTAGGAAGAGTCTTACAAAGAACTGAGGGTTGTGCAGAAGAATCTCACTGTACCTTATGACCTTTCCTCTATTAATAGGAAGCAGTGAAGATGGAGAAAAAGATTAAATTAATTTAAACTTCCTCGGACTACATACATAAAACACACAGACTTTGTGTCTGAGACTTCTTTATGTAAACTCTGGATCCTCCTGGAGTAACACAGGTAATCAAGAAGTACTGAGAAACGAAAGTAAACACTGAAAGCAATGTTAAATCAGGACATTAATTTGAATGTGTATTTAACTTTGTAATGTATTTTTAAATCAGTGCAATTTTGCTTTTCATTGACAGACGATTCTGCCGCTGTTTTCAAGTACTTGAAGTATTTTTCAGATAACTTAAACAAGTAAAGCAATTACACTACAGTCTGGTTTATGTATGAGATTGTATAATATTCTTTTTATATTTTTCCATGTAGTTCATTATCTATTTGAACCTACACCTGTTGTAGAATTGTGTATAACTGTCCTGTGCAACAGGTGGCTGTGTTGATGGAACTGTATGAATGATAGTTGATCAGTAGTGAGCCATATTTATTCAAAAAGATATCACTACATATTACTTTGCTTATTACAATTGCACTATGTATTATTCTTCCTTTATTTCCTGATGATGTACAGAATCAAAATCTTAAATCTTTCAAGGAAAATAAGACAAGTTGAATTGGCCCAGTTATCCAGTTTAATTTGTCCTTTTTGTAGCCTTTGCTATGCACGGTACTTGTAAAACGTACATAACTTCTGAGTATTATGTTAGACTTGCTGAAATCTTATATTCAGTACCATTTCTAAATGATAATGATTATAGAATGGTTGTTAGTGTTCATGTTTTATAGGAAACTGGAAAAGAATATATGATATACTCTGGAATTTTTAGATGAAAGAGAGAATGTCTCTTAATTCCTACATATGATCCTACTGACTGCTCAAACTGTAATAGCATCTGACTATATCACAATTAAGGGCCTTCCAGTTTTTACTGCAATTTCTGCCTTGGAGAAAGAAGAGCAAAAATTGGCTGTACAAAACTGTGGAATTTATGAATCTTATAAAAAGACTGATTTCAGTAGCCTGGCTTTGGGTACACTTGGCCCTTCAGTTGTACATTCTGTGAATTTTGAAGCTCTTCTGCCGACGGCAGACGGGGCTCTGTTCAGAGGCCTGTGGTAAATCTACCTCTCGGTGATGTGATGACAGTGAAGGTTTGGATTAACAGTTAATGCCCAGTTTTGCACCCTTGGTAAGGCCAGACCCACTTTAAAATGTCTGCAAGGCTGCATGGTACACCTCGAAATGCATCCTGAGCAGAGGGTGCCATCCTGTAAGTTTGCTCTGAAGTCTGTAGGGAAGGGAAGACACTGGGGGGGTTTAACCTTCCCGCTCTCCCATGCATCTGGCTGCTTCAGCCCTTCCAACTGCTCGGAAAAAAGTTATCCTTAGTTATTACTCCAGAGTGAGTTCAGCTGAGAAACAAATCCCTGACCTCTTGGAATGCCTTATGCAGCTGTGGATCTGTAGGAAACGCTGATAGGAACAGTTTACCTGGGTTTGTGTTTTAGGACACTACAATACAAATGTGCTGAAATATGAAGTACTTTGTATTTTAGTGGCGGTTTTGGCAGGGCTTGAGCTAACGGTGGTCCAAGTGCTCTGTGTCCAGATCCTGTCACCAGAGAATTTTCATCAGATGAAGATGGGAAAACTAGATATTTTCAGATGTGTAATTTTTTTTGTATACCTCTATGTTAATTTTGATTTTTAAGTATGTTTTAAAATGACAGGAATATGTCAATTGTGGTTTTTTTTCCAGCATTGTTTAGCCCTTAACCAGAATGGCTTCCATACTGATCAAAAGGGAACGATGTAGTTATTATGTTATTTGAAGTTGCCAATGAATTGTTGAGATATCTTTTTCTGATGAGGCACTCAGGTTTGGAGTTAGTCAGAACTGTTCTTCAGTATGAAGTGAGGAACTGAATTTTCCCATGGACTTTTCCCAGAACATGATTCAAAAGGCAAAGTCAAGTAGTTCTTAATACAGGCTTACAGTATATACTGTAGAGGGTTTAAGGAAGCTGTGCACTACTCCAAATATTTAAAAATATTGGTAATAGACTTTGTGCACAAATTATTGCTTAGAAATTCTGTGATTTCAACATTAAACTCCTTGATACAGCTAGATTTAGGGCATTTCATCTGTCTTCTGCAATTCTCACCATAGTAAGAATGAAACTCCACAATGGTCTGCAAAGAATGTGTGGGCTTGTCTGCTTTGTGTGGTGAGAAGCCTGTCAGACCTGGAGTTCAGCCTTAATTTTGAATCATTTGCTTTACAAAATTAATCCAGAGTTAAGTAAAAGTATATACTGCAGAATGTTGTAATTTGGTGGTTCATTTTGTTTCTTATAAGTCTGGAGAATCAGATGTTTATCTTGCACATTGAGAATTTTCTTTGCTTGATGGGAATCCAAGATTTTTGTTCTCTACCTGAGTTTAAAGAAAATCTTACACAGGAAGTGAAAGTTTACTCCTTTGTCCACATGGACTCATTGCTAATGAATTGCCAAAGGAGCATTTTTTCCAAAATTAGATGTGTATTATATTAAGCAAGGTAATGTCCTTTTTAGCTGTACAATGAAGAGAAAGAAATATTTAAAGTTGACTCACCTCACTTAAACAAGGATTTTAATTTCAGTAATCCAGTAGGCTGGATTGCAATAATATAGATGGTCTTTTGGGGGAAAAAGATACTTAAAGATCTGATCAACTACTAGCAATACTTCAATATCTGCCTGGCAGTCAAGTGGCACAATGAAGATGAATCAGTAAGTCCAATGTGTTACATTATAATGAGGGGATTTGTTACAAACCATTCACTACAGGTAATTTCTTGCACTAGCTACTTAAGCCTGGTCTCTCTTTGAGAAGTACATGTATCTATTTTCAATGGTTTATTATGAGGACTGGTTACAGTTGAAATCCTTCTCTAGTAGAATACCTGGATTGTTTGAATAATGAAGGCATTGTCTCAATTTGGCTACTAAAGGTACTTAAAAGATCTGATTTTTCCCACCTAAAGAAGTTCGTTTAAAACTTGGGATCTGTAGTAAGAAGCCAAGAGAGCGAGAAGAGCGTCCAGTTTCAATGGGAACACCTGTACTCTCCCAAATCCCCCAGCTGCAGATACACTGTGTATAACTGCATTTATGGAAATTGCCATTTTCATGAAATGAGCGGATTTAACTTTTTTTTTTCATATCCTTGTTGATGCACTAATGAAAGCCATTTAAGCCTCATTCTTTTTATCAGTATTTTTAGCAGATTTTTATGTAGTACTCAATCTCTTTCATAAGGAGGCTGGTTAGTAGCGAGACCTTTTTTTTTTTACAATTAAGCACTATCCTAAAATGTCAGCATTGTCAGGTGTCAGTGACATGGCTATTTGTGTTGGAGTTGCTGAAAGGTGGAATCCAAGTATTTTAGCCTTATAAGAAATAGCCTTAAATAAGAATGGAGTGTACAAAATTACTTCAGCTTTAAGTCATACAGAAATATCCTTGTATGTTAAAAGTTTTGGTACAAAACAGGAAGAAATCTAGAGGAGAGTCAAGCATCATATAAACTTATTGAAAATAAGTATTTGTAATACCAGCAGCCTGTTTTTCAGAAACTTGAATATGACTTACAGTTAATTTTGTTTATGAAATTGTTTGAACTTGCACAGATGTAGGTGTAACTTAAATGATAAATGGTACTGATGTGTGTGTATATATAATGTTTAATTCTATTTGTAAATGAGAAACTATGTAACAAAATCATAGGTATGAGGTTTTCCTATTGTAATTTAATACAGGTATGAGGTTTATGGCAATATATCATAGTTAATGAAATTTCAGGTCAAAATGTCTTTAAATTGTGTACATTTTTAAATTGTAATTTCTACTGTATATTGATTATCATGCATAGTGTGATTCAAGAAACTGCTTGTAATTTAAAAATATTTAATATTAAAAATAAAATACAGTTATATATTTATAATCTCTTTGTCTGTTTGTTCATTTTTAAACAGATGGCAGCAAAGGATCAGGTCCACAGTGTAGTTCCAGTGTAAGATATATTTATTAGAGTCCGGAGGTTGAGAAAGTACCAAAAGTTCAAAGCCACAGTCCCAGCAGATGAGTCTACACTAAATAGTGTAGTTACCATTAATTTCTTCCAATATCATCCTTGCGAGAACTTCAGGTAATGTGTGTACAGTCAGTAGAGCAGCAATAATTGAAATACAAACTGTAGTTCTGAACACTGAATATTGGTTTTAATCGTAGAATTAAGTATCAGTAAGAAGAATGCAGACTTCAAAATTTATAAGTACTCTTCAGAAAACAGGTTAATGATGTTTTCTCAGTATTCATTTAATTTCTTTCTAGAAGATTTTCTTGGTTTCTTTCAATCCAAGTGCATGTGCTGAATGGACCAAAGAGGTAAATGTAGTCCTTGTGTACATTGGGAGCTTCTTTCACATGAGATTGAGACTGTTTCGGCCTGAGCACGTGGTGAGGCAGGAGGAGAGTGCTGGTTTTCCCTGTTATTCCTTCAGTTTGGGAAGGGACTGGCAGCAGTCAGGGGTTAGTGGAGGCTGTGGGGGAAGCCCCCACATCACATCGCAGCCCTTGAGTCCTGGCAGCTGCTGAGAGCTGGGAATGAGAAACTGATAGCAAGATAACAACTTGGTTAGGTAAAATATAACTACTGCGCTGAAACTTGACCAAGGCAGCCATCATTAATGAGAGCAGATGTAAAAGATCCCATGACACTAAATTGGTCATCCTGTATAGAACCTATTATCGAAGAATTTGAGAACTTGCGATCTTTAGCAGCAGCAGCAGCTCCCTGCAGGGGATGGCAGTGCTGTGTCTGTGGGCCGGTGTCACACGGGGGCTGAGAACTTGCTCAGCCCTTGGCAGAACAGAGCTGACACAGCCTTTGGCCTCCTCCACCCGCTGAAGGAGGCACTGGACTGCCCCGTCCTGTGGTGGCAGTGCCCGGTCAGTGCCCGTCAGTGACACCCGCGCTGCTGCAGGGCTGCTCCCCCTGCCATGTGCCCCCGGGAGCCTTGTGACCATCCCGAAACCGGCAGGGAGCCTTGTGCCGGCCGCTGTGTCCATGCACGGCCCCGGCTGTGGCGAGGGGGTGTCGGCGGTGCCGGGTGTCCCTGCCCGGTGCCTCCCCGCGGTGGGACCGCAGCTCCCGCCCGCCCGCGCCGGGCCCGCCCCCGCTGCTAAAGCGACGTGTCGGGTGGCCCGGCCGGCACCTGCAGCGGCCTCAGCCTGAGGGGCTCGGGCCTCCGGGGCTGTGCCAGCGCTGCCCCGCCGCCCCTGCGGCCCGCTCAGCGACAGGCACGCCTGCTTCCCTCGCAGGCTCCTGCTGACAGACCCTGGCTTGGCTAGAGGACCTGCAGCCTTCCGTCCCTGTTGCCCCCGCAGAGCCTCCTGCTGCTCCTGGCTCCCCGCGGGTCTCTGCTATGTTGCCCCGTGGGCCTTAAGCACGTTCTCTGCAGCTGGTGCAGTGGTAAGTCACAGTGGAGGGACACCAGCCCTGACAGACGGCTGCAGAGGGTGGAAAATGTGTTGGTATTTGGCTGCTCTCTCTCTTTGGTTTCTCTTGACCACCCCAGTGTGTTGCTTCTGAACTCCTCCTCAATCTGTTTCCTCCTTGCACACTCGTACCACCTCCCTGGGGGGTCCCAGCAGCTCCTGTGGCTCGGTAGGGTCTCTTCTCAGGGTTACAGCAGCATGCAGCAGTCTGAAAGCAGACCTCAGCCAGCTAGGCACCTTCTTATCCCATATCCCAACTGCTTTTGCCCAGTCTGCAGTTTTAACGATTACTTTGCTCCCACAGTTTGCTGAAGGTTCCTTTCTCTTGGATTTTCTTCCAGCTTTCTCTGCTGGCTGCCTCCATGAATCTCTTCTTCACCAAGTCCTATGGGCTGTTTTCCTTCCAAGCAGCAGCTCTCCCCAGTGGTGCTTTGTGCTCTCCTGCAGTTGGGCCTTTTCTGCTGATTACACAAACAGTCCAGAACAAAACCAGTGCTTGCCTTTTATGCTGTTTTCCTGCTGAAGATACCCCTGTGTCTCCAGCATTTCTTTTAGGCTCCCACAGCCGAGCTACGTGGTGCTATCTTTCTCTCAGCATTCATCACCTGGGTGCCACCCTCACCCAGCTGCTTTGTGAGTTCCTGTCATGTTTGCTAAAACTGCCTCCCTGGTAGTACAGAACCTGGGGATGGCCAGGGTGCCCTCCCAGGCAGAGAACTGAGTCCCTGCCTGCCCAGCAGCTGAACTTGGCTCTAGAGAAATGAGAAACAAGAGGGGAAGTGGTGTTTACCACAGCACACCCGGGAACTGCCACCACCTGCTCCAGCTGAGGGTGATGTCCTGTGCTGGGGCAGTCACACACCTGGGGCAAGGTTTTGTTTCTTCTTTTATTTATTTTTTATTGGCTCACCAACTCTCAAGCTGCTCCTATGTAATAGAACTGGTATAAAAATATATTTTGTTTAGACCAAACCTTTCTCTGACTACATCGAGTGTAAGAGCACAGAAGGAACATTCTGAGAATGTCTCTCAGTAACTCTGATGGTTGGAGTTAGAGGCAGGGTTGCTGTAAGGCTATTGTCTTCAGATGTAGTGTGGGCACAGAATCTGGGCTGAGATAGAGTAAAATATCAATGCTGTCATCTGCCCTGCTAATATGGGGGAAGGAGTGTTGCTGTGTCTTTTTGGATAACCTGGGAAATAACCTGCCCTGCTGCTGTCGATCTGGGGCAGCAACTGCAATTAAGCCCTGCAGTTAATGGATTATTGTTGGAAGAGGGAAGTGCTTGTTTTTTTTCTGGGGGGAGGGACACGAAGACTAGCCCAGAATGCAGAAATACTGCAGCTGAAAACACGTGGCTGACTGAGCTTCTCCAGGAAGTGAGTGCGCCATGTGTCCCTCTAGTGGACTGCTCGAAAACATAGTGGGAACCTGTTCCTGTACAAAGCAATTGCCAGGAGTTCAAGGAGAATTACTCTGAGTAAGAACCTGAGGGTTCTGTCTAATACCCCCCCACACAGGTAGAGTGAAGCCGTGTATGGTTTTATTATAGTGTGGGGTAATGAGCTGTGACACAACAGGAGTGTATGAGATCAAAAAATTGAAGCAACATGTTATCAAATCTAATCGACCATTGTACTCTACATGAGTTTTGAGTTGTAGTTCACTTTTCTACAGGAAAACTGGATTAGCTTGGGGACCATTTTCTCTTATGTACAGAGAAATCTCTCTAGTAGGTGATTCACTGCATCTTTGTTTCTGTGGTTCCATTCACTTGTCCTCTGCTCCCTCTGTAACTTCTTCCTGCCAGCTGAAGGAGGATCTGTTCTCTACAAAAGGATTTTCTCCTCTGTTCATCTGCACAGGTCATCTTGAGTAACAACATTCACAGCTTCTAAAACGAACGTCACTTAAGTTGAGAGCCAGTGACGGTTTTCCAGTAAGGTAACCAAGTAAACAAACACATCAAACCAACCTGCACCGGATCATCGGTTCAGCAGGGAACTGTACAACAGCCAACGATATCGGGGTCATGTTTTTACAGCACAGTGGTGCTTAATACCAGCACATCCAGCAAATCATGAAGACTAAAACCAAAGGAAAGAAGCAAAGGCAAACTGTTGACAAAGAAGCATTTTCTGAGGAGTCAGCCATGAGAAAAAAAGAACTGGCGAAATGTTTGCGACGCAGAGAAAGGAAGAATGGGGGAAACAAGGAGAGCAGTAAGATCACTGCAGCCAGAGCCAAGTGCCCTTGGAGCACCAAGGACAGGCATCTGAGGAGGCTGGAAAGCAATGAGAGGGAGAGACAGAGAATGCACAAGCTCAACAACGCGTTCCAGGCCCTGCGGGAGGTGATCCCTCACGTGAGGGCTGAGAACAAACTGTCCAAAATAGAGACTCTCACACTGGCCAAAAACTACATTAAGTCCTTGACCTCCATTATACTCAATATGTCCAATGGACACTTTCCAGCAGCAGAAGGGATGGGGGGAACCTGGGGGTCCAAATTGTACCAACATTATCAACAGCAGCATGGGGAGGATGACCATGAGGAACATCTACAGAAACGTGCCATGTAGATTCCTAGCTTCAGCCAGAACACCCACAGTTAGCTGCTGCCATCATTATTTTTCCTTCTTACATCATAATACATGTCAGTAATTGGAGCTTTTAAGAGACTGGTTTTACCTCCAGCTCTCCCCTCTTTTTTTTTTTTTTAAAGACAAACAGGCAACACTCATGGCTATAGTTTATATGGCACATTAAAAAGCTACCTTAAACTATAAGAATTTTTCAGAGCATAATGAATGTATTTGTGGGTTTGCCAGAGCTTGGAAACCTATCCTGTAACACTGGAGTTGACTTGAATATAAGGATTTAGTAACTTTTGAAAGTCACCCTCCTTGGGAAGGTTGTGAGTTGAGCTTTTAAGGTCTGTGTCACCTGAGTTCTTTGGAGCTTGGGGAATTGTGGCTGTAGCTCTGTTCCCCAGCCTTGCAGTGCCTGTTGTGATCTCCCAGGCCACAGAGGAAAATAAAATTGATGACTGAAGTGACTGGATGGGAAATCAGTCATTAAATCTGAATATTTATCTTAATATTTATCTTTTATGGATCTGCTCTGATAATTTTGAACCTTGCAAAGCATAAGAACTTCTAAAATACTTGTTGATGCAAACATCTGCAAAGCTTTCTTAGGCTGTAAGCTCTCCAGAGTAAGGGCAGTTCTGGTCTGTGTTTCCAGACCATCCTTTAGTGGGTGTCTGGGTATCATTGCAATACAAATAATAAATAAGGGACAAATGACTTATTTTTGCCAAAACAATGATAAAAATGCTTTAGTATAGTCTTAAGTTAGACATGATTTAGCCAATTTAAATTATTTGCTAATGAAGCCTGTGATGTGATCATGTTCTTTATGGGTTAGTATTAGATTCTGGTACTATAAAACAATAAATGCAGAAACTCTTCAAAAAGGAAAATGAGGGTTTTTTTCACCTCTCCTCCCCCCATTTCCCCTCTTACACTAAAATGTTTTATGTCCCTGAGGAACCCTCATTTTCTCTTGTATTCTCACACCTGAAGCTGGAGGGGCCTCAGTTGGTGCCCGTGGGGTCCCCTTGGTACAGCTCGTCCTCCCCACACCCCCCAGGCCTGTGCTGGGATAGCAGAGGGGACATTTGGCATCTCATGCACCACTGGGATTGACAGACTTTGTGGTGTGTCTCTTCTTCCCACAGAGTAGGGCTGTCCAAGGAGAAACAGTGGCTGAGGAAGGATTTATTGGATCCATGAAGGTTGTGCTGCTCTGTGCAGTTGGTGTGTTATTTATTTTGCTCCAGCACAGCACGATGATTTCATTTGGACTAGAAGGTGAGGTCTCCTGGACTGGCTGGTCAGGGATGTGAATTGTTTTCCCCCCATAACAATCCACAGCTGTGATGTAGAACAACACAATGGTTTGTGTGTGTGGTTGCCTTACTGGAGAGATTATTTGGATCCTGCCTCAACCTGACATTTTCTTAGCTTTTGAACAGTTTTCACACTAAAATAGATGTGATGAAGGCCTTCTCAAACTCCAATGTTAATTGAAGTATTGCTGAGTTACAGATTTCAGTTGCCATTACAGTGCTGGATCTTATTCCATTCAACAGCTCCCCTGTGTTGATAAATTAGTCCTTATTGCATTTATAAGTTGTCTGATTGTAATGGGAGAAATAAGTAATTCCAAGGCCTTTTCTTTCCGTTGTTCCACTCAGCATCTCTCCAAGTCAGAGATGTGGGATGCTCTTTGGTCATTTCTGAAGTGCTGTGCTCTTGGAGATGCCAAAAGGGATTTTTTTAAGAAGCGGGTTTTTTTTCTGATAAATTACTTTTATTTTTCAAAATTGCTTTAATTTAAAGTCACTTTTCCTTATTTTAACTAGCCACAACAATGACATTATATTTTAAATTAAATAATTTTTCTAAATAATCATTTTAAAAGGCAAATACTTAGTACTCAAACACAACCAACTTATAATTTATCTTTTTTTTTTTTTTCACTTAAACCCAGCTATTTACAGTAAAGTAAGTAAAACTTGGCAATGTAGGGAAAAATGCAAAGGTACATTATCAAGCTTATTGTGTGCAATCAGGTTGATTGTTGGATATGTAAACACTGACTATTAAAAGGAAAAACCTTTTGGATACAATGCAGAGAAAATACAATCCTAATAACTCTCTAAAAATACATGTAATAACGTTATTTATTTGGACAAGATACTGTGCAAGTTATGCAAAACCTATAATGGTAATTAATGCAAACATGTTATTTATGATTCTCCCACAAGGTAGGTATAAATCCGAAATCTCTACTCACATACTGGAAAGATCAGCAGGTTCTTTTGAAACAGTTAAGCATCTTCGGTCTTCATTCACATTTGGACTTGGAAACAGTGCTTTCCTTGGCATTAAATACCAAATATATTCCTTAAATACGTGCAAACATAAGTTTTACTTCTACAAATACAGTACTGAGACCACACCAAACTGCTCATCATATAAAAATAACTCCATATGGTCACACACACAGAGGAAAAATGAATGTAAACTGTCCAATTATAATAACTGGGGAAGAAAAGCTTTTTTTTGAGAATAGAAGGTGGTTTCTTGTTGGAAAAAGGGATGAGTAAATCACTTACTAAAAACAAAGAGCAGAGCTTCATTCTGAACCCCCATCAGTATTACACTGGCAAACTCCACTGATAGCAGTAAAGTCCCTTTGCACTGTAAAGTCAGAATTTAAGCTCTTCTCTTGAGTTTTACACTATGAAAGCATAATTTGCAATGATCTGGAACACAGCCTAACTCCTCAAGTGTGTGGTGCCTTCCAGCCCCTTTAGGGAGGCATCTGTACACCCCAGTTATCACAGTTCCAGTTAAGATGAAGACAAAACATAATTTACCCCCATTTGGAGTGACAGTTCAGAACAGATGTCACTGCTGGACTCTGCTCCCTACCCAGTCTGGCTGAAAGCAGTGGTTCCACTTCTCGAGTGAGATATTGCTCACTGTGAGCAAAGTCAGCCCAAATTGGCTCTTCCTGGTAACTGCCCCCCAAGCTGAGTTGTTCAGGATTTGATTTTACTGATTTGAGCAGGAACCCAAACTCAGTTCTTACCCAGGGAGCACCCAGAGGAGCAGAGCTCTGTGCAGGTACAAAACAGGACCAGGTATGTTTGCCTTCATTTAAATCAATCCAACATCATCATCTAGGCTCAAACATGAATCTGAAGAACAGTGTGTGAATATGAGAGAAATGTAGGGAACTGTAATATTTAAAAAAAAAAAGAAGTTAATGTAGTGATCATCTCCACATATTCACATTTGTATGGGGTGTAGCAGCTATGGTAAAGGGTCAGAAATACATTATGGTTAAAAAAACCTTGCCTGCTTTGACAAAACTATGAGCTCTATCAAGTCATGTTTTACACATGTAGTAGAAGAATTCAGTACTTAAAATACCCCTTTGCAAAGTCCGGTTCAGTCAAGCACATTAGTAGCAGGAAAAGGTCATGTGTTTCTCTCCAAGCAACAGACATTTAGTTTCTTTTCAACTTATACTGACTGTGCCTGTTTGCAACATGTAGATGGCGACAACTTAACAATTAACAGCATTTCTGTCCAATTCTTGACTTTCACTGACCATCAGAGGGGTTTTAGAGTGTTCTGTTTTCCCTTTACTCTCCTCATCTTCTAAATCCTTTGACACTGCAAGGTTTTCCTCGGAGGTGTCGTGACCAGTGGCCCGAGATGCTTCTGTTGCATTTCCTCTGACTGTGATGTGCTCCCACCCACCCTGGAAAAGATTGATACAGAAATTCAAAAGGAGAAACATCACCCTGCAAGTGCAATATCTGATGTGATGCTTTATGGGCACTATTCAGTTTGTTCTATTTATTCATGAGGAATCAGTAAAAAGGCTCCTTGTAAAATGAAACAAAACACACCAGACCTCTCTGGCAGGGAGCTATAGAGGTACTAAACCTGAGGATTATATTTATTACAGGGAGCTGAGATTACTAGGGTCAGGTGTTTATAGCAGAACCACTGCAGGTTTTCCACCAACTTAAAAGGGGGCAATACCTTGAAAAAACCTTGAGAATAATTCAGGATACAACAATGAGGAATAATCGTGTGCAGACCAGGAAGGAAACCACTTTTTCTTTTTAAATGGCCCTTACTCTACTAGTTTTTCCATTATAACTTTTAAATTCCCTGTTTAAAATGAATACTTATCAAATGCAAATAAACAACTTCCCAGCTGTAACTGCACAGCCCATTATATTGACTTAAAAAAGGAGCCTAAGACTGAAGAACAAAGGTCAGTCTCCTGCAGATACATGTGAGCTTTCCAACACTCACCAGCTGGGCAGGATAGCACTTTCCTTCCTCTGGGTGCCTGAGGACATCTGGATGTACAATTTTTAGGCAGGATCCTGCCCCCAGCACTTACCCCAATGCCATAATCCCAGGAGAGGCCTTTAGGTTCCAGGGGCTGGACACCAATCCGATGGCAGACTGTCCCACAGCTCAGACTGTGACTTCCCTGCACTTTGTCAGCAATCACCCAGACCTCAAGAAAGCAAAGAGAGGCAATAAAATGTGCTGCTCTTCCCAGATGTGAAAGCTCTGTTTGACCACTTTCAGAAATCAGTCTTGATCTTCAGTAGGCCCAAGCTGCTCTAATTTAGGCAGAGAGACACCCGAGCTATAGAGCAGTGTTCTAATTAAAACATTGCCAGATAAGACTTGGCAGAAAAGAGATTAAATATATAAAAAGCCTTGTTAAAAAAGAAATAATTGATGAGGCTTTTTACAACGAAGGGCTGGAGCTCCATTCCACTGGTACAACTTTTTGTCTTGCTGTCAGGATTCCAGCATTTAGACCAACACTTTGTGGAACAAAGCTAAACAAAAATAATTCTGAAGAACACTTAATTACTAAAGTATGTTATGCATAATTTTTAATAAACTAATCAGATCCAAGGAAGCTCCATACACACCTGGTCCAGGGGCCCTACAGACATTTTGCGGATGTTATTTGACACGTGATCCCAAGCAGATCCCTGGGGGTAGCTCGGCGTGATTCCCTGCCGGTACCAAAGATTGCCTGGAAAACACACAGTGCTGGTTACAGCTCAGGGGGCTGTTTGTCTGAAGGGCTGCAAACAACACAACACATCAGCTGTAATTCTTCCTGTGTCCTGGGGAAATGCATCATGGTTTTGGCTAATGTGTGACAGTGATGGACAATGAGGTTCCTACTTTGGAATTTGTATTTCTATAGTTATGCTTTATAACCTTTCTGAAAAACAGCAAATACTGTTTTGTAAAATTTCTTGGGGAAAAATGTTCATATAAGGACCACTGGAAAACAAAAGCAAATGAGATGAAGGTCTCTAAATCTGGTGTTAAAGGCTTGTTTCTTTTACAAAAGGTACTTCACATTTTATCTTGCAATGATGGGGTTATTTCCAGGTCTTGCAGCAGGTAAATATTCCTCTTCAGTTTTGTACATTTGGGGTTCCAGGCAAAATCCTGCCATGCAATTTTCATCTGTGTCTTCCCTCCCCCAAAGAGCACAGATGCTGGATTGTTGTTACCCAGGGCACTCTCAGTTATAACAAACACCAAGTACTTCAATGCACTGCTACTCCAAATCTTTCAGCACAAAATATTCCTCCTCTTGGAGCACCAGTCATCATCTGTCCAGCCCTAACTTAGCCTCTCCTTTTTAAATCAGTCCAGTGTATAGTGATGTATTTTTTTTAACTAATAATTTTTTTAAATCCTTACCATTTGTATCCAAGACAAACACAGACGTTCGTCCTACTGAGACTTGCTTTAACTTTTGTTTTTGAGGTGAAGGAATATGGTACCAACAGTCACCTAAAGGTCAGAAATACTTGAGTTAAACATTGAGAAAACAAAATTATGCATGAGAAGCCTTGAAAATGCTGCAGTTGAAATACATTGCTGTGCAAGAAAGCTGTGAATGACATTACACTTCATATATTTTTGCGAGCTTGTTTTTACAAATAAGCACTTTAAATCATGCAAGTGAAGAGCAAATCAACTGTTACAGTTATCATATTATTTGTATGCAGTGTTTTGCACAGCTGTGGGAAAGGCCTCTGTGAAACAGGTTGGTCTTTTGCAGCCATGGCAGTGTAGAAGAGTAAAAGAGAAAGTACAAGGACTCACCTGCAGGTTTATTGGGAGACACTGAACCCCGGTAGAAGGCAGAACCATCTCTAGCAATTGCCCACACTTGGTAAAATGCCCCAATTGAGATGGAAATGAAGGGCTGGTCTGTTCCCACGTGCAGC